GTGGAAATATTTTGAGATTTACTACAGAAAGTAGTAAATCTCAAAAGTTATATGGAGAGAAATATGTTAGAACGTGGTGAGATTGACTTTTTTTTAAAATTCAATTAACTTTATTTAAATTCAAAACCAATTCTTAAAACTGCATTTAGAGTCAAGACCCTTTTGTATTATAAAAATCACAAGTATTTTTAAGAGACAAAAATAATTCTAGGTTAATTAGACTGGATCTGACTTTGCAGAGATCTAAACAAACTGCAGAGAATAGAGAAAAAAAGAGATTATTTACAGATAATTATCTACATATGTACTTAGAGGCACAAATTTGGTGACAGAAAAGACTTCAGTATATGTTGGCATCTCAGAAGCAGTTCTCAAAGAGCTTAGTTTTATTTTCTTGAATTTTAAGAATGCCTGAGATCCTTCTTCATCCTCGATCTTGGGAGCCAAGTAGTACTTTAAGTGTCCCGTATCAGCAATTTTATACCCTACAACAAGGGATACCTCTGCAGACATACTGAGTGTCACTGTTGAAGAGAGTGGAGTGGCTTTTGTGAAGAAGTTCACGTACCTCAGTGCAAAAGTTAATTGAACTGGTTCATTCATCTCTATGGTAACAACTTCCTCCTCTTTATCGACATTACTTGTCTGTGACAATTTAATGTTTCCATTTCCAAGTTCTACACTTGCAGAAAATTTCACTCCGTCTTTTGCACAGGAAATTACAACAGCATCTCCAATATATCTGAGATCTCAGCATATACGAGCAAATTCACCAGAAGGCATCTTTACCACACAGCTGTACTCTTGTTCTGGAGTTCCAAGTTGTTCAACATCCAAATCCATCAACTTCATTTCATAGTCTGAAACCTCCTTGTTTGGTGCTTCAAATACTAGCACCAAGGTATCCGCATTATCTTCAGTCCTTAGTGTAATGATATCTTCATTGCCAGCACATTTTAGTATTTTGGACATACTGGTGAGGTTCACGCCCATGGCTAGGTCGCGGTCGCAGCGGTACGTGTCAAAGCCCTCAGACTGTAGCGTGAGCTGCACCTAGGAGACATGGGGTGAGTCCATGCTCTGTAGGTTTACGCCACTCGAGCTGATGTCCCAGCAGGCCTCGTTGATGAGGTCCTTGAGTGCCTCCAACACCTTCAGGATGGAGCCCTGGACCAGGCGCGCCTCGAACATGGTGGCGGAGTGGCACCAGTGCCGCTACAGGCAGGCGGGAAGAAGCAAAGTCTAGCGGGTTTTGGCTTCAGGAGCCTCAGAGCGAGCGGGCAAACGTCCAGATTTTATTGTCTTGGTCAATATCCTCGGGGAAATGAGAGGCATAGCGTGAGACTGGTCACAGGGCAACACAGACCTTCAGGAGCTGCTTTGAGGATCAGCCTGCCCAGATGGCTCTGTTAAGCCAGCAGCCTCCTCACTCCCGCCCCTGTCATCTTGACAGATGGAGCTGTCATGGTTTCAGGGACACTTGGCCTGGCATCTGGGTTGGTCCCTCCCACATGGACCTTGTAAAGTTGCTATTCAGGGGAACCTGGTATCGTTTCAGGCAAAACGCAGAACCATATTAGCATTTTTAAGCCCCTTGCCCGGAACATCTCCTTGGAACATTTGGGTTTGTTGCACATTCCAGGAAGGAGCAGCAGCACAGCTGCAGCCATAGCTGCCAGGAACAGGCCTGGGCTCCCGCCCTATGTCGGGGGAGGGCAGAGGCTGGAGCCTATGATTTCCCATCACCAGAATGGGACACGATAACTCCTGAAGCCAAGAACTTGATCAACCAGATGCTGACCATAAACCCAGCAAAGCACATCACGGCTGACCAGGCTCTCAAGTACCTGTGGGTCTGCCAACGATCCATGGTGGCATCCATGATGTATCGTAGGAGACTGTGGAGTGTTTGTGCAAGTTCAACGCCCAGAGAAAACTGAAGGGTGCCATCCTCACGACTATGCTCATCCCCAGGAACTTCTCAGCTGCCAAAAGCCTATTGAACAAGAAGTCAGATGGCAGTGTCAAGATCCCACTGAGTGCAAGAGTCTCGAGCTTTCTTGATGCATAGGCTCCTCAGAAAAAGACGAGGGCCATTGTGGATCACGGCTTGTTCCCACTGGGTGAGGGAGCTTGTACCGTGGGACTAGGGCAAGAGGAGGGACCTGGGACCCACCAGGAGCTCTGCTGGGAGTGGCTGCTTGGCCAAGGTAGAGGAGAGGTGGCTGGGGCTGCCCACAGGGCCCAATACATAATGTAGATGCTTTGGGAGCAGAAAGGATCCTGGAGCTAGGGCCTGGGTAGGAACTTATGCTATCTTGAAACCTCCAACTTATAATCTAGAAATTTTTGCTGGGCCTTTTCCCAGGATCTTGTGTCCACAGCTGAAATGTACACATATGCCCTGTTCCCTCCCCACTCCCTCCTCTTTCCCTCATTCTCTGCATGCCTGCTTCTGTGTCTTTTGCCCCTTGCAGGGGAGCTTGAGCTCCGCACACACCCTCTGACATGGAGCTGGGGGTATCATGCAGTCCCCAAGCTCTGCCTCTGAGCTGGATGGATGGAACCAGGTGAGGAAAGGGGGCAAGTTTATTTGGAGAGAGTGTTTAATAAATACCTGTCAATCAGAAAAAAATTTTTTTTCAGTTATTAAGATAAAGATGATCTATTTACATAATATTTTAAGATACAAGTGACTGATAGCATGTAGTTATTAAGTCCATTACAGTGCATATTTATTGACTCTGTATATTTTCACAGTGTCATCTTCACCACAGCTTGCAAAGTGTAACCACTCTGCACCGCCTGCTTCCTTCCGTTCAGTTTTTCCACTGCAATTCTTCCAGCATAATTTTCTGATAGCAAGTGTATGACTTTGGCTTTGACTTGTTTCTACACAGCGGATCCAGTCATTTATTTCTGGAACTTGATTAGTCTTTTTCCAGGTGTATAAGCAAATCTTCCCACACTCCAATCCTACTGCAACCACATATCGTTGGGAAGGGTGGAGCACCAGGCAGAGGCTGACAGCTGTCACAGCCCCACCCATGTCCAGGGCTGAGGAGCAGGGGCCAATGTTGTGCTCAATACAGTCTTCAGTGGAGTCGCACTCACCCCAGACAACCACCTTTTTGTCTCAACTCCCAGTGAAGAAATGCTTGATATCAGGACTCCAAACACAAGACCAAATAATTCTACTGTGCACAGAAGTAATTTTGTTGGTGAAGGTGAAAAGAGTAAACACTGGCTCAAACTCAAGTGAGATTGTACCCTGCTTTTCCCACAATGACCAGGTTCGATCTCCGGAAACAGCTGGTAAGAACTTATCATTAGGTGAGAATTTTTTTTTTTTCTTTTTTAATTTATTTATTCTCTTTCAAGCATAAAACGTGACAAAATTATGAAGGTTGGAAAGGGTGGAGACGGAAAGGCTTAGAGAGTGAGGGTATGGATTGGGGAGGGTTTTTGCCTTTAAAAAAAAAGTCACATAAGAAAGCAGTGGACCATATCACTCTTGAGTTAACAGCTTCTTTGTCATGTTGTTTCCTTTGCCTGACTGACTGTGTCCTGTGATGTCTTCTTGCCTTGTTTTCTGTGTTCAGGACTTTGATTCAATGAACTTCATGATCTTCTTTCAATAAATAAATCCACTCAGGTCTTTCATGCCCACATGTTCATTGCTCAGTCAGCCCTCACTGTTACTACTCCTTCATTCTAGGAGGCCCAGGGAGTTCTGCCACAGCCTTTGTCACTCTGTGACCCATAGATACTGAAAAGATGCAGTGGTAGGATGCCAGGACACCCAGGAAACTGGAATATGGACTGGACTGGAATATAGTTGCCTTTGAAGATGTGGCTGTGACCTTCACCCAACAGGAGTGGGCTTTGCTGAATCCTTCCTAGAAAAATATCTACAGATATGTTCTTAATTTGCTTTTCCCTTGTGAGTCCTGCATCATTTGAAAATGTCCATGCAACGTGGTATCCTGAGGTGCGGCACCACTGTTCCAACATTTCCATCATCCTAGTGGGAGCTAAACTTGATCTTAGGGATGATAAAGACAGGATCGAGAAACTGAAGGAGAAGAAGCTGACTTCCATCACCTATCCGCAGGGTCTAGCCCTGGCTAAGGAGACTGGTGCTGTAAAATACCTGGAGTGCTCGGCGCTCACACAGCAAGGCCTCAAGACAGTGTTTGACACAGCAATCCGAGCAGTCCTCTGCCCACCTCCAATGAAGAAGAGGAAGAGGAAATGCCTGCTTCTGTAAATGTCTGAGCCCCTTGCTCTTGGCCCTGTCCCTTGGAACCTTTGTACGCTTTGCTCAAAAAATGGTGGAGCCTTCTCACTCATTGCCAACTTTTTGTTACAGATTAATTTTTCCATAAAACCATTTTGAACCAATAAGTAATTTTAAGATTTTGTTTGTTCTAAATATAAGAGTTCAGACTCACATTCTATTAAAATTTAGCCCGAAAATTAAAAAAAAAATTTTTTTTTTTGGTTCCTAAGTTTTATTCAAGAACACATACAAAATATTCCAGATAAATGAAATTTAATCCTCATCCTCCTCCTCTTCTTCATCCTGGTTAATCTGGAAGTAACGTAATTCTTAACTCTCTTTGCTGTTACCAACTACGCACAACCAATCACGTAGATTATTCTTCTTCAAATACTTTTTGATGAGATATTTCCAATACTTTTTGGAGAAAGTCACCTCAGACGTCACGGTGATCTTGCTCTTGCTCCTTTTGATGGTCACCACCCCTCCACCAAGGTTCCCAGCTTTTCCGTTCACTTTGATCCTTTCTTGCAAAAGCTGCTCAAAATTGGCAAGCATCCATGATTCCATCTTCTACAGGGTGGGTGCAATCAAGAATGAACTTCAGAACCTGCTTCTTTTTTTTGACCCCCTTCGCCACAAGCTTTTTCACGGGAGCCATGGCAGCAGCGGAGGCTGCTGCAGAATCACTTGCTGTGGGCAAGACATGCCTGCTCATCTGCTACACAACTAATGCTTTCCCCAAAGAGTATATCCCCACCGTGTTGGACAATTGTAGTGCTCAGAGCACAGTTGACGGGCGCACAGTGAACCCGAACCTGTGGGACACTGCGGGCCAGGAGGAGTATGACTGCTTCCGTACACTCTCCTACCCTCAGACCAATGTCTATGTCATCTGTTTCTCCATTGCCAGTCTGCCCTCCTATGAGAACGTGTGGCACAAGTGGCATCCAGAAGTGTGACATCACTGCCCTGATGTGCCCATCCTGCTGGTGGGCACCAAGAAGGACCTGAGAGCCCAGCCTGACACCCTACGGTGCCTCAAAGAGCAGGGCCAGGCACCCATCACACCATTGCCCAGGGCGGTGCTAGTCCCCAGTAGCCAGAATGTCACTGAATACTCGTTCGAGTTCTGAAGTAAATCCCCAACCCCATCTCCCACTCCTCTCCACCCCGCAAAAATGAAAACCTTTATGGTCTTCTTAGCCTGGTGTTTCTGGCCCTGTCTGTGTTCTCCTACCACACGGGGGGAGACTTGGAGGGCAGGGCTGCGATTAAACTGAGGCTTCTCTGGAGGCAAACACTGCTTTTTGTATGAATGACTACATTAATACATAGCATGATTCAGCCTCCTGGCCTAACATTTGAGAGCATATGATGCCGTGATGCCCAGGCTGTAGCCGTAAGGACATATTCCTCAACCTGTTTCAAAGTGAGCAGGCTGCCTTTCCTCACCAGGCCTTTGTATATCCTGTTCCCTCTGCCGTGAGTGCCTCCCCTCAACCCCCAAGCTGTGACTCTGCTGGGTGAATTCTTGTTGATTCTGCAAAACTCAGCTCCAGTATCTTCTTCCTCTAGGAAGCACTCCCGGGCTGTCCTCCCTCATCCCCAAGGCTGAGTTCCCAATAATCTCCACATCTTGGGTTTCCCCCAATCTTTGTTCCTCCATTTATTCTTTGTCTGCATGTGGTTAAGAGGGGATGGGTCTAGCTTCTCTGGCAGACTGGGAATTCTTACAGTCTTCCATATCCGGTGTTGACAGGCAAAACAGACTGAATGAACCAGAGTGGGTTTGTTGAGTGACTGAATTAATGATTCAGTGGAATCAAATTATTGAATTAATGATTCAGTTGAATGGAATGATTGAATTAATGATTTGATTGAATTAATGATCCAATTGAATGACTGATGTTATTAATGATTTGTTCACATTGATTAGATTAATGATTGAGAAAAAAAAAAAAGGAGAGAGATCCAAGATGGCTGATCACTAGCAGCTAGGGATTGTAGGTCCCAGTGAAACACAGAGAATGTGGGAACGAGAGGACGCCACACTTTCAGACGAATTTTTGTTCCTCATGGACCAGGAGATTTCCAGCAGAGGAGACCCACGGGTTGCCAGCGCGACTCTTGTGGCCAGTGTGGCAGTTTTGCTGGTGCCCCAGTGCGGCGGTTCTTGGTGCAGAGTCAGAAAAGCACCATCAATCTTAACGATGCTGTTTTAGCCGGCACAGTGGGTTGTTCAGATTCCGGTGCTGGGAATCAACAAGTTGGATGTTCCACTCAGAAACCTCATTAGAAAGTTGGTAATTACAAAGACCGCAGATGGATAAATTTATAACGAAGAAAAGAAACCAGCCTAAAAAGGCTAAGAATACCCAAAATCAGAATGCCTCTCCCTCTACAGGGGATCACAGTTCCTCATCAGCAACGGAACAAGGCCTGATGGAGGACGAGTGTGTTCCATTAACAGAACCAGGCTTCAAAAGGTGGTTGATAAGAAACATCTGTGAGTTAAAAGAGCTTGTTCTTTTAACCCAATACAAAGAAACTAAGAACTTTGAAAAAAGATTTGATGAAATGCTAACGAGAATAGACAATTTAGAGAGGAATATAAGTGAATTAATGGAGCTGAAAAACACAACATGAGAACTTCGCGAAGTATGCATAAGTTTTAACAGAGGAATTGATCAAGCAGAAGAAAGGATATCAGAGGTCGAAGACCAACTTAATGGAATAAAATGAGAAGACAAAATTAGAGAAAAAAGGATAAAAAGGAACGAGCAAAGTATCCAAGAAATATGAGATTATGTGCAAAGACCTAATCTATGTTTGATAGGTGTGCCTGAATGTGAGGAAGAGAATGAATCCAAGCTGGAAAATACTCTTCAGGATATTATTCAGGAAAACTTTCCCAACCTAGCAAGGCAGGAAAACATTCAACTCCAGGTAATACAGAGAACACCACAAAGATATTCCTCAAGAAGACCAACCTCAAGGCACATAATCGTCAGATTCACCAGCGTTGAAACGAAGGAGAAAATACTAAGGGCAGCCAGAGAGAAAGGTCAGGTTACCCACAAAGGGAAGCCCATCAGACTCACAGCAGATCTCTCAGCAGAAAACCTAGAAAAAGTGGGGGCCAGAAGAGAGTGGGGGCCAATATTCAACATCCTAAAAGAAAAGAACTTTCAACCCAGAATTTCATACCCAGACAAACTCAGCTTCATAAGTGAAAGAAAAATAAAATCTTTTGTGAACAAGCAAGTACTCAGAGATTTCATCACCACCAGGCCTGCTTTGCCAGAGCTTCTGAAAGAAGCACTACACATAGAAAGGAACAACCAATATCAGTTTCCAAAAATATACCAAAAAGTAAAGAGCATCAACATAATGAAGAATTTACATCAACTAATGGCCAAAACAGCCAGCTAACATCAAATGGCAGTATTAAACTCACATATATTATTATTAATCCTAAATTTAAATAGACTAAATCCCCCAATCAAAAGACACATCCAAAACTCATCGGTATGCTGCATCCAGACCCATTTCACACGCAAGGATACACAAAGACTCAAAACAAAGGGATGGAGAAAGATTTACCAACCAAATGGAGAGCAAAAATAAATAAATAAATAAAAAGCAGGAGTTGCAATTCTCGCCTCTGATAAAATAGACTTTAAAGCAGCAAAGATCAAAAGAGGCAAAAAAGGACATTACATAACGGTAAAAGGGTCAATGCAACCAAAAGAGCTAACGATCCTAAATATATATGCACCCAATACAGGAGCACCCAAATACATAAGACTTATAAGGAGACTTAGACTTCCACAAAATAATAGTGGGAGACTTCAACATTAATATTAGACAGATCAGAGAGACAGAAAATTAACAAGGATATCCAGGACTTGAACTCAGATCTGGAACAAGTAAACTTAATAAACATTTATAGAACTCTCCACTTTAAATACACAAAATACACACTCTTATCAGCACCACATCACACCTACTTACAGGTTTAAATGAAATATTGGTTGGCTGCTTGTTTGTTATTTTCTTCCCTCATTTTTTCCTGTCTCCATTATTAAGCACAATTATTGGTATAAA